CAATCACCGGGATACTCCATAAAAAAGCTCCAGTTAAAAAGGACCAATTGCCATTAATACATTGTCCCGCCATACTGAAAATTCCTAAAATTATTCCAACAGTTATATAATATCCAGATGCCAATGAGGACAAACGATCCAACACAGATGCTTTTGCTGTGCAGTTTTTAAGAATTTTCTTTTGCTCCGAAGTAATCAGCATGTCTTTGGCATGAAGGCCAACTGGTTGTAAGTCAAGTATTCTTCCATTTGTTGTAATAAAATATTCTTCTGGGAGCCAATATATACACATTTCCACCGGGTCATCTTTTATGTTCAAGTAATAAAAAAGACCCATATAAGGTGTGGAAATGCATTTGAAAATCCAGGTTAGTTTATCTATCAAAGATCCAAATGGGGCTGCCCCCAATGTTACAATTACAGGAATGAGACCCATCACATATTGTGGCATGGGTTCTTGTAATTTACCAATTACTTCTTGTGACATTTTTATGTTAAACTTTGACGTAAATTAGCTTTATTTATAAGTGAAAAATTAATTGTCTATATTCCTAATAAACATTTCATTCACAATTTGATAAGAGTTCTTCGTCATTCCCTTGTAGAGATGTGCCGTACGCATAATAATAATAGATAAATCTGTGTTACGCGCCAAAAATTAAACATGATGTCAGTGTTGTGTCATTTATGGTTCCAATAAATTTTCATTGGAGCATTCCAACAAATTCTAATTGGAATTGGAACGTTCCAAATGTGGTTCCAATGAAGTTAACCAATGAAATTCAATTAGAGTGTCACATACACAAATTTTATTGGTCAATCTACATTGAAACCATACACAACACTGCATGATGTAAATAATAAATGAAATAAAAATTTTAAATGCTGCCATTTGGATTCATTTCAATAAACTTGGTCAAGATCAGGCTTTCAGCAACCTCGCGCACAATAAACTAAGGATTTCGCATTTTACCCATCCCTATTCCCTTGACGATGTTTACCTTAATAAAGAAAAACAACAATATCAAAATAATATTATTGATCACTATTTTAATACTGCTACGTTGATTGCTAAGTGTTTATATTTGAAAGAAATCTCTTTGGAAAATCTGAGGTTGTACAAATTCAACCCATTGTAAACAATAGCGAAAAATCTCTGATTTTCAACCTAATTGTTTGGGAAGAAATTCATTGTATTAATTGAAGAAAAAGTTTGTTTGTGCTATTCCACCATTAAAAAAGGAAATTCATTTTGACTAAAATTTTTTTCTCATCACGGCAAAAATTTTTCCCCTCGAGAAATTAAAAGCGCCACTCTTTAAAATTTTACTTGGCAAACTTAACAAACTCCAATCTCTCTAAAAAACTCAAATTTTGGTTGGATGAACCCGCCAACAACTTTACAACTAAAAACCGGTCATATAGATCTTTTTACACGATTGACTTCTTGACTACTCAAGAAGTAACAACAACAACAAAAAAAAACTATTTTGGATTGGATACATCCACCCACACAACGCCAAACTAAAAATGGATAGATGAAAAGATGAAGATTTTCAATAATGAATGTTCTTCGCCTTCCTTGATGGATGTACACTCACTAGACAAAAGTCGGGCGCATTTTTAAACAAAAATTGCGCAAAAACGCACACAATAAAAACACAGATAACTTATATCATTTTGTAGCCTAGGTTCTCAAAATTTTGCATGCAAAATTTAAAACTTTTATTATGCCTAAGAAAATAACAGTTAAAAAAATAAAAAATCCGACCAAAAAATTTTTCCGAAAATTTTTCTGACAAAAAAAATTTTAATTGAAGAAAATCGTATTTAATAACCAAGCTCGAATTTTTGGCATGTGATAACAGACGTCTTGAATAAGTATCTATGTTGATTTGAATTTTTTTGTAAACAAACATCATTTTTAATAAATTTTTGAACAATT